CGCGTGTGTGCGCATGTATGATTGAGAGTGCAGGTGTGGGATAATGATGTCATTAATGCAAGGTGTTGATGGGTCACGTCGATGATCTAAAGGCAACCTGATATCAACCACGTATCTGCTGCCGTCACTTTCCTTTTACTCCGGGTCGAGAGAGGGTTAGTCATCGTTAATTGGGTGATGGTGCGGGCACAAGGACATCGGTCATGTGGTCACTGGCGTTTCTGTTAAATACGCTCACGAAAGTGCGTATTATGTAAAACAATGAACGCCGAAAAAATCCCTGGGGATAGTTGATGGGAAAAAAAATTGATGGAAGATGACTAGGAAGAAGAGTGGAAAGGTGGTCAGGATTATAGTGGGCGGGAATGTTTGGGGGATGGGAAGTAGGAAAAATGTTATGGATAAAGAAATAATGAAAAGGAAAGAAATTGAATAGAAGAGATAAGATCGATGAGGGATAGAGGGCGATATACTGGGGTTAGGAGAAATGAGAAGGAGTGAATGGATAAATGACATAGTGAGGAGAAAGAGGAAAACTGGAAAATGATGGACTGAAAAAAGAAAGAAAGAAAGAAAGAAAGAAAGAAAGTGAAAAAAAGAAAGACAGTAAGAAAAAAGAGTGGGAAATTAGAAAGTAAGAAAGAAAGAAAGAAAGAAAGAAAGAAAGAAAGAAAGAAAGAAAGAAAGAAAGAAAAACAAAGAAAAAAAGAAAGAAAGAAAGAAAGAGGAAAGAAAGAAATTGAAATTAAAGAACGAGTGAGAAAGACGAACAGATAAATAGAAATCATCAAGGAAAGAAAGAGATGCGCCACAAAGAGAATAAATAAAAGAAAGAAAGAATGAATGAATGAACAATGGAGGAGTAGAAGAATGAGAAAGAAAGAAAAAAGAGAGAAAGAAAGAATGAATGAATGAATGAAGGAAAAGAAAGAAAAAAGCAAGTGAAAAATAACGAAAATAGTGGTGAATTAGAAGAATAAGAAAGAAAGAAAGAAAGAAAGAAAGAAAGAAAGAAAGAAACAGTCAAAGAAAATGAAAGAAAGAAAAATCTGAAGGAGAATCAATAAAATAATGTGAGGTATGTTATGGAGAAGAAAGAAAGAAAGAAAGAAAGAAAGAAAGAAAGAAAGAAAGAAAGAAAGAAAGAAAGAATAATTAAGAATTAGAAGAATAAGAAAGAAAGAAAGAAAGAAAGAGAGAAAGAAAGAATAGTTAAGAATTAGAAGAATAAGAAAGAAAGAAAGAAAGAAAGAGAGAAAGAATAATTAAGAATTAGAAGAATAAGGAAGAAAGAAAGGAAGAAAGAAAGAAAGAAAGAAAGAAAGAAAGAAAGAAAGAGAAAGAAAGAATAGTTAAGAATTAGAAGAATAAGAAAGAAAGAAAGGAAGAAAGAAAGAAAGAAAGAGAAAGAATAGTTAAGAATTAAAAATAAGAAAGAAAGAAAGAAAGAAAGAAAGAAAGAGAAAGAAAGAATAGTTAAGAATTAGAAGAATAAGAAAGAAAGAAAGGAAGAAAGAAAGAAAGAAAGAAAGAGAAAGAATAGTTAAGAATTAGAAGAATAAGAAAGAATGAAAGGAAGAAAGAAAGAAAGAAAGAAAGAGAAAGAAAGAATAGTTAAGAATTAGAAGAATAAGAAAGAAAGAAAGGAAGAAAGAAAGAAAGAAAGAGAAAGAATAGTTAAGAATTAGAAGAATAAGAAAGAAAGAAAGAAAGAAAGAAAGAAAGAAAGAAAGAAAGAAAGAAACATCTAGAAAAAAGCAAAAAAATAGCATGGAAGGCTTGACGTAAAAAGAAGAAGAGCTAAGATCGAAAATAAAAATTTAAATATATAAAGAAAGAAAAGGAAAATATATCTAAAATAAAAAAAAAATCAGATAAAAACAATGTTGATAATCTTAGAGGAAGAGAACGATGAGAAGGAGGAGGCCGAAAAAAAAGAAACAGGAGGGGAAAAGAAGAAACAAACTTATAGACAGGTGACAAGCAAAGAAAGAAGAAATGAAATAAGAAAAAAAAAACCTTTGTGTTGAAAGAGAAACTAAAGTAAATAAATTGGCTCTAAAAAAGGTCGAGCAAGGAAAGAAGCGGTCATCTTGATGTTGGTCCAGGTCATAGTGGCGCCACTTACAATTACACTGATGAAAATGCCCAGCTTTTTGTCCGTTGGTTGTGACAAGGACAATCAAGAGAGGGAAGGGTTAATAAAAAGCGGACATGCGAACGAATAAGTGAGAGGAAAGAGGCGCGAGATTTGAAAGCAAATACGCCTTTAATTACTGAAAATGTTTTCTTACGACAAATGTGTGGACATGCAATTGTAATAAAAGATATGAATGGGGTAATAAACGAGAAAAAGAAAGGCGTATGGTGTTGCTACAACAAATGGACATGCGAAAGAAAGAGAACGATAAAAGTTGAAAGATGAAAGGGGGAGAAAAAGTGGAGAAACATGAGAGGGGCGTGGATAGGGCAATTGTTACCTTAGGTTAATGTTTCTCAATCTTTTTACCCTTGCGAAACCCTTGAAATAGTTTTGCTGTCCCGTGGAACTCTGCATAAAACTTATTACGTATCATCTTTAATATCTATCTCTTATGCATATGGACATATATGCATGAGTCCCGTTCTCGAGTGAGTCACTCGATGATACCCGAACCGGCCACGTACACGTTCTGTCCACTGACCAGTGAACGCAGTTTTACACTGACGCCATATAGACATCGCTAAATACATTACTTATGATTATTATAATTCTGGATAATATAAGTAACCTTTATTATATCAACCAAGTATTTTCCAACAATATGTTGTACGTGCATTGAAAAATTACGAATATAAAATTAAACAAAATTTACTCAAATATGCCTTAGCGTTTTCATCACTGTTTCTCAGAGAAATCTTAGCGACATCTTGCTGAACCCTAGTGTTCCGGGGAATATCGGTTGAGAAGCATTACTTTGCAGTAACAAAAACATAGGAATTGTGGAATGCAATGATCGCTGGAGTAGTGAATAGCGGATCGGAGTGAGAAATCGGAGAGCCGAGTTCGTATTCCAGTCGAATGTATTACATTCACTTACGTGTTAATATCCTTAGGAAAGGTATAAAGCCTCTTTTTCAAAATTAGGAATAAATATCAGGACAGAGCGGGTTCTATAGCCTTGGATGACAACTGGTCTACCGCAGAAAGACATGGTAACCCACCGCCGGAAAAAATCTGCCTCGTCATTTATATATCGAAAGATACATGATCGCCTACGCGTGTATCATGCATGGCACAAAACTGACTGAATTGGAATAATAATGTTTGATTGCAAAACACAAATACCTCAAAGTTAGGGTCCCATCAATTTACAGTTGACATTATTAGATGCAACCATAATTTTTATGCTAACAGTTTCTTCTCTCCCAAGAACATTCTTCCTGCTTCTTACTTTCTAGTCAACTTTGATCTTCAGAAGTTAGAATGCAATATCAATCGCCGTCTTCTGTTCTCAAGAATCTCCTTCTTTTATTGACCTCTTGCCTTAACGATTTCTTTCTCAGATTCTTTTCAAAGTCACCCTTGAGACTCAGTGACTTTATTGCCTTGCTTGAGTGAAATGATTAAACACAAACAACACACACACACACACACACACACACACACACATATATATATATATATATATATATATATATATATATATACACACACACACACACACACACACACATATATATATATATATATATATATATATATATATATATATATATATATATGAAAAGTGTATATAAATATAAATAAATATATGTATAATTATTTATATATTATATGCGCGGTACTTATTAGAAAGTGCTCAATATCAGAGATAGAGCTAACATATTTGGTTGGATAGATGTGGAGTTTCAGACCCTGGTTTCACGTTTTAGCGATCGTCAGACGAACTGATTAATGTTTTAAAAAATCTGGGCTTATGTAGATTGTGTGTATTGGTGTTATTGTGGGAAGTGGTGGGGGAAATTTCGTCGTTTTGTCATTCATCGTACTAACGCAAACATCGATGTATGCAGATACATATACATACTTGGTCGTCCGTCGACTGATATATAAAACGTATATGGGCAGTTTCTGGCTATGACACATGTATGTATACGGGTGAAAGCAGGTCTATACATACGCATTTGTATGTTGAAATGTTGAAATTTAAACATTGAAGTGTGGCGGAAAATGTCTCGTTACTGTATACATGTCATATTATGTTTTCGCGCCGAAAATATTTCCTCGCATGTATGTATATGCCTGTGGTGGGGTTTGTGTAAAATTATGATAGGTAAAAATTTTATTATTTATATTTATTTTTAAATTTTTGAAAAAAATGGGGGTTTATATGTTATATTTAAAGCTGGTTATTTGTTTGTTTTTGGTGACTTATATATATATATATATATATATATATATATATATATATATATATATATATATATATGAAGTGTATTTTATGAAATTAACACTGACAAATTTGTCGATTTAACTTTTTTTTATATTGTCTTTCTAATTTCCGATTGAGGTATTTTTATACCGTGATCAAAATTTTAATAAATTGTCCAAAGTCCCTCTGTTTTGTTATGTTCGAGTATTTTCGACTGTACTGTCACAGTCATTGTCAAGAAGTGTCAGTGTTGTTCGTATGCTAAACAAGATATATTTGACTAAATCTTTTAACTGACTTTAATGATAATTCTAGCAATGGCATTTAATAAAATACCTCAGTAAAGATAATATAAAATTGAATAGACAGACACTGTCAGTTTTATTTAATAAAACTAATATATATATATATATATATATATATATATATATATATGTGTGTGTGTGTGTGTGTGTGTGTGTGTGTGTAAAATATTCATTTTATGATGAAAAATATTGATAAATTCTGAAGCAAATGTCAATCTGTCTGATCCTCGGAAGTAAAGAAAACAGACCTGATAGGAAAATGACATTTTGAATAATCCATTTTTTTATTTATTTTGTGTTTATTTTCTGAGATTTTCGGTACCACCATTCCTATAATGATGTATATTTGTCATTTTACAGAAGCCTATAAATAATTAATACATTTCAATATTCTACAATGATATCCAAACAGTTCTTACACTTGTCGACGACGAATGAACAATTTGAATGCATTTGAGAAAATAAAGAAAGGCGAAGAATAAAATCCCAAAGTTCAACGCTGAATAATTTTCTCGTATATAATTGTTTGGTTTCTTGATACTGGAAAAAGACCACATCGTAGAAAGATTTCTCTTTGGGTAATAGCGTTAAAATTATCTTAAAGAACGAATTCGAAATAATAAATAAATAAGTAAATAAATGAAAATTGTAAGAGAGTGGCATTTAAATACAGTTGTCATTCTGATAGTAGTATCACTAGGAATGATTAAAATTATTGAACAAAGGAAACTCATAACTATCCGAAATATAAAAGAATTTTGTTATACTTTGAATGAACTAAAAACATGAAACCTTGCTGATATCGTTTAAATAAAAATTAAGTAAAAAAAAATCTTTTAAAATAATAATATTAATAAAAACCCGGTTTGAGGATTTTTCACAAGAACTCCCATCGTACCTATTTTCATCAACTTATTGGTCAGAAGACAGGATGCCGTAGCTGTATACAAGAAGTAACGAACGCATCAGATATTGGATTTCGCTGTTCCGGTAAAGCACGGAGTAAATCTAATAAAAAATGAAAACCTAGATAAATATCTTCACCTTGTGAGGGAGCTGAGGAAATTGTTACGGTGACAGTCGTAGCGTTTGTTATCTGATCCTTGGCAAATTCGAAAAAAGAAAAAAAAAAGCATAAGAAGCGAGAGTAACTAGAGACTACTTCATAGTAATGCTGTCAAAACTATGAGGAGAGCTCTGGAACATTCAAAAGACACGTTGCCACTTTGGCTCCAGGGAAAAAAAAACACCAATTTCTTCTTCTTTTATATACCATGTCCCTTCAGGACTTAGGCGATCATGGCTCCCTCTTATTCCTTGTAGCTCGTAATATGTCTTCTTGTTATTTCCCCCAAACCCTGTTCTACCATCCATTTGCTCAAATCCATCAAATATGTTACGCTCTGCTTTCCTCTGTTCTTCTTTCCTGTCCTGTGAGTATCAGATTTTCCAAGCCTTCTTTCCTCATTACGTGCCCCAGGAATTTCAACTGCCTTTTCCTGATGTTAAGTATAAGTTTCCTCTTCGTTTCCATTCTCTCCAAATCCTTGTCATTGCTCAAATATTCAGCGCATGATATCCTCAGCATCTTTCTGTAGAACCACATTTCTGTTGCTTCGAGTCTCTCCTTCCTGTTTGAGGTGATTGTACAGCATTCAATGCCATACAAGAGGAGAGATATCACGTAACAGTCTAGTACTATATTCTTTGTTTCCCACAAAATGTTCCTGTTTCTTAATACTCTGCTTAGCTTTTGGGGTGCATTTTTGGCCAGCCCAATACGTCTTCTGAACTCAGTGTTGCACTTTCCATCCAATGAAAATAACAATAAAACAAACGCTAAAAAAATGTATTTCTTTATTTATTATTGTATCTATCACTGTATTATATTTATATTGTATTTACTTATTTTTTATTATTCGTAACGAAGAATAAAAGCCAGTAAACCAATTTAAATTATATAAAATTATTATATAAAAGAGGGTTTGTGGGTAGTGTAACGGATATCGGGGTGGAAATTGGAATCAGAAGACTGACTTTAAAATCCTTCTTAATCTGTTGCGTCTTCTTTCACACTAATCCCCTTAGAAAAGGCGGGAATTAATCGTATCTCATCACTCCAAACTATGATTTAAATATCAGGGTAGACGAATCTCTCTAGCTTTGACTGGCAAGCAATCTAAGAGAAGGAAACCTTTGAAATTCAAACTACTTGGAAAACAATAACAAACCACTCCAGAATGGTATTTTAATAAAGATAACAGATCCATGACGAGTCATGATCGTTTACGTCCCGAAGACGGTATTTCATTTAAAAGATATAACAGAAAATGCCAATCAATACCAATAAATAATTTCTAATTTTCCACATGTAAACCGTTCAAATCTAATTGGGAGAAGTGTTGTCTACCTCATTGCTAGCTGACGTCGGCATCAGATATGAGATTAAAATGACAGATGAATAGAAATGAAATTAACTTGTCTTTCTATCATCTCAACCATTTACTCCTGCCTCGATACTAAATTTCATCAGTCCGATAAGGTCAAAATGGCAGCTGAGGGTCACAAACGACTTACAGTCTGTTATTAACTGGGGCAAAAAATGGTTTCTTAATTTTAACAGCAAAACTGCTCTCTGTTACTCATCTGAGTGATCTCTTTCTACCTTCTATCGGCATGGCTGATGCTAACCCCCAGGAAAGTGACTCGTTGCACCTACCCGGGCTAACAT